AGCCGGGAAATGGGAAGAGTCAGTAACAGACAAGCCCCTTACTGACTGTGCTCTGTCGCCCGAACCCCACCATCCCCACCGAGTCGTGGTTCCGATTCATGCAATCGATCGCACTCGGACGAATAACGGGGGTGAACATGTGGATCACCCTGTGCTGGTTGTTGGCACGGTTGTTAAGAAAAAAATAAAAATGTTCGTCGATGGCGGGGCTAGCCATAGCCTCTTCAATCTGGCGACAGCAAAAAAATGCAAGTTGCAGCTGGACAGGTGTCTGCCCGAAATTGACGCCCGCCTCGTGGATGGGACGCCTCTGGCGATTTTGGAAGAAACACGGACGGTGCGGATTGAGTGCGGCGACGATTTCGGCTTCAGCATGAAGTTTCTCGCGACGACGTTGGACGAATGCGATGTGCTCCTGGGACGCGATTGGATGCGACAGCACAACCTGATAATCGACTGGACGACGAGATCGTGCAGCATCAGCAAGAACGGGGGGCTGATTACTCTGCCCGCGTGGACTCCGGACTGCATCGAGTCTACATGCGTCAAAGCCATCACTATTAAATGCCACGTCAACAGGGGTGCGCAACTGTTCGCCGTATGCTTGCGCGAGTTGGCAGCCGACACCGACGGAAACGACATCGAGAAGCTGTGCGCAGCTGTACCACCTGATTTAGCGGAGCTGATTCGACAATACCCCGACATCTTCCCCGACGACCTGCCACCTGGACTACCACCCGAACGCCCCGAGGACCACAAAATCCAGCTGGAACCTGGCGCGCAGCAGACTGTTCGTACACAGTGGCAGTTGAGTCAGCCCGAACTCGCGGAGCTTCGAAGTCAACTTGAGTCACTGTTGGAGAAGGGCTCCACCCAACCCAATACTTCGCCCTTCGCCGCACCGATCCTGTTCACACCGAAGAAGGACGGCGGCATTCGCATGTGCATCGACTATCGCGCGCTCAACCGGGTTACCATCAAGTCTCGCTATCCCATCCCACGCACCGACGACCTCCTCGACCAACTTCGCGGCGCTCGCTACTTCTCGAAGATTGACTTACGCTGCGGTTACCACGAGATCAGATTCTTCGCTGATGATTGTCACAAGACCGCCTTCCGAACCCGCTACGGCAGTTACGAGTTCACAGTGATGCCTTTCGGCCTCACGAACGCGCCATCAACATTTCAACGCACCATGAACAGGGTATTTCGCGACCTGCTGGACAAGTGTGTTATCGTCTACTTGGACGATATTCTGATTTTTAGCAGGTTATGCGAGCAGCACCTCCGCGACCTCGACACAGTGTTTAAGCGGCTACAGGAGAACCGGCTCATCACCAAAGGCTCTAAGTGCGAGTTCTTTAAGCAAGAGTTGGAGTTTTTGGGGCACGTCATCTCACGCGACGGCATCAAAATCGACCCGGAGAAAACCAAGACCATCCAGGAGTGGAAGGCCCCGACTAATGTCACGGAACTTCAGAGTTTTCTGGGGTTTGTGAATTATGTCCGGCGGTTTATCCCGAATATGGCGGGGATAACCGGCCCGCTGACCGACTTGCTGCACAAGGACAGGAACTTCGTGTGGGGGGAGGAAGCTGAGGCGGCTTTTCAGGAGTTGAAGCAGTTACTGGTGTCCCCTCCGGTTCTTCGCATCGCCGACCCATCCAAGCCGTTCGAAGTTGTCACCGACGCCTCAGATTTCACCATCGGTGCAGTGCTGCTCCAGGATTTTGGCAACGGCTTACAACCGATCGCCTACGAGTCACGCAAGTTGCAGGCAGCCGAGCGCAACTACCCGATTCACGACAAGGAGATGCTCGCCATCATTCACGCGTTTAAACTGTGGCGATGCTACCTGACTGGCGCCGACGTCACTGTTCGCACCGATCATAAATCCCTACAGTACCTTCGAGCGCAACCCAACCTCAACCCGCGACAAATCCGGTGGCTCGATTACATGGAGTCACACTTCCACTACAGGATCACCTACAAGAAGGGCGCGAACAACATTGCCGACGCCCTGACCCGACCGACAGTCCAATCCGCTGCTGTGCTGATCACCCATTCGAACCCGCTCCTTTCGGGACTATTCACCCATGGCTATACTACGGACCCGTTCTTCACGACTGGAAATCACCAGCAGGCGACGACGCAGAAGGGGAATTATTACCTAAAGGCCGGAACTGACCGGATTTGGGTTCCCGCTTACCGGCTGCTGCGTGAACTCCTTATTCAGGAGGTCCATGATTCCAACCTCTCCGGACATTTCGGGGTTGATAAAACCCAGAAGCTGTTGCACCGTCAGTATTATTGGCCTGATTCTGCTAACGACGTGCAGCGATATGTGTCCTCATGCAGGGTGTGCCAAGCCATGAAATCGACACGTCAGCGGCCAGCTGGGTTGCTGCAACCTCTCGAGCCACCCGAACGACCATGGCAACAGGTGACGATGGACTTCGTCACGGGGCTGCCAGCTGGGCCGTCCGGCAACGACGCTGTACTCGTCGTCGTCGATCGCCTCACAAAAATGGCGCATTTCGCACCTTGTCGCACGACAATCACCGCCGAAGAAACTGCACGCCTCTTCATCTCCACCGTTGTGCGACTACACGGCATCCCATCGGCGATCATCAGCGACCGGGACCCAAAGTTCACATCGAAATTTTGGAAGGAGACGTGGGCGCAGTACGGCACGAAGCTACAGTTCTCGTCGGCATACCACCCGCAAACCGACGGCCAGACCGAGCGGACCAATCAGACGATGGAGCAGCTGATCAGGACAAACTGCCCCGACCCCGCTCGCTGGGAAAATTCGCTCGCCATGCTGGAATTCGCGTTCAACAACGCTCCGTCCAGCACAACCAATCACTCCCCGTTCTTCTTGAATTACGGGATGGACCCGGTGGTACCCACTGTCCATGCAGCTCCAGCCAGGTGGGGAGCTCAGCCTCGTCGCCAAACACTGTGCGCCAGTCGTCGCTCAGACGGGCGAAGCAGCGGGACTATGTGTGACCAAGCGTCCCACAAGGCTGACCAGTCCTAGCACCTGTGCGAATGACGTACGGGCAGCGAACTGTACGCGTAGACCTGCTACACTGAGCGTACCACTCCTGGAGCTGCCGGGGCGTAAGTGTCTCACGTGGACGCCCCTGCAGCTGCAGCTGGCCACTGCCAGACGCTCCCAACTGACCAGCTCCAGGGCGACAGCTACGACGGCTACTGCGACAACCCCAGCTAGTATACCACTCACTAAGCTGCTGGGGCGTGAGAGGCTCGCGTGAACGTCGCTGGAGCTGCATCTGGCCACCTGCCAGTAGCAGTAGCAGCAGCAGTAGCGCGGGCAGGGCAGGCGCGGCAGGCAGGCAGGCAAGCAGGCAGGCAGGCAGGCAGGCAGGCCGGCAGGCAGGCAGGCAGCCAGGCAGGCAGGCAGGCAGGCAGACAGGCAGGCAGGCAGGCAGGCAGGCAGGCAGGCAGACAGACAGGCAGGCCGGCAGGCAGGCAGGCAGGCCGGTAGGCAGGCAGGCAGGCGCGCAGGCAGGCAGGCAGGCAGGCAGGCAGCCAGGCAGCCAGGCAGGCAGGCAGGCAGGCAGACAGGCAGGCCGTCAGGCAGGCAGGCAGGCGCTCACCAAAGGCTGGGAGAGCAGGCGCTCACCGGGCGAGCAGGGCCGGCGCTCGACGGGCGGCGGCCGAGTAGGCGCACGACAGCGGCGGCGTCGGGGCCGCAACACCGGCTGCAGAGCAGGGCCGAAGCAGCTGCAGGGCGGGGCCGCTTCAGCGGCAGTAGCAGGGTGGGGCCGCGTCAGCGGCAGGTCGGGGCCGTGGCAGCTGCAGGGCGGGGCCGCATCAGCGGCAGGTCGGGGCCGTGGCAGCTGCAGGGCGGGGCCGCATCAGCGGCAGGTCGGGGCCGAGGCAGAGGGCCGCGCGCGGCTCGGCGCGGGCTGCGCTGACAGCGCGCTGAGCTGCTGCAGGCCGCGCGCGGCCGCGCTAGGCAGTAGCGGGCCGCGCGCGGCTCGGCGCGGGCTGTTGCGAGCTGCGCGCGGGCCGCGCGAGGCAGTAGCAGGCCGCGCGCGGCTCGGCGCGGGCTGCTGCGGGCCGCGCGCGGGCCTCGCGAGGCCGTAGCAGGCCGCGCGCGGCTCGACGCGGGCTGCGTGGGCTCGGCGCGGGCTGCGCGCGGCAGCTGCGGGCTGCGCGCGGCTGCAGCGGGCTGCGCGCGGCTCGGTGCGGGCTGCGCGCGGCTCGGCGCGGGCTGCGTGGGCTCTGTGCGGGCTGCGCGCGGCTGCAGCGGGCTGCGCGCGGCTCGGCGCGGGCTGCGCGGGCTCGGTGCGGGCAGCGCGCGGCAGCAGCGTGCTTAACGGTCTGCAGGGGCTGTTTGCGGGCCTGACGGGCGTGTAGGGGCGGCGCGCGGGCCTTACGGGCCTCTAGGGGCGGCGCGCGGGCCTTACGGGCCTCTAGGGGCGGCGCGTGGGCCTTACGGGCCTCTAGGGGCAGCGCGCTGGCCTAGGGCAGCAGGAGGCAGCGCTAGGGCTGCTGGACGGCGCGCATAGTGCAGCACGTCACAAGGCAAGGCAAGGCAGGCAGGTACGTGGGGTAGCGCGGTAACCGCAGCGGTAGGTGGGCCCGAAAAAAAAAAAAACGGTCCTACGGACCTTAGTGCTCTGAAACCATGTTAGAATCTAGCAGCAGGAATGAATGAACTAACAGGATGCAGGAGTACAAGTAGTAAACCCTAATTGGGTTGTACCCCATATGGGCTACCCCACTATAGCCTAGACAATATGCAGCATATATAGTTTGGCATTTCTCCCCTTCTCCTTCCCCTCCCTCCCTCCTGTCCTCATAACTACCCCCTCTCCCTTCTCTCTCCCCACCTTCCTCCTTCCCGCCAGCTCTTCTCGCTGGCATCTTGTCTCACTCATTTCTGTATTCACGGCTTTATGCATGCACCCCCCCCTCTTCCCCCCGTCCAGCTCTTCCCCGGCACACTGCAAGTGCAAGAAGACATGTTCCATGTGGGCAGCACTGGGGGGGGGAGGCGAGGCCATGGCAGCAGTTTTGGGAGTGCCCTGTCTCTGCTGAAGTCTGCCTGTCATCGCAGACTTATACATGCAACCTTCCCCCCCATTCCCTTTTCCTCCCTTCCGCCATCCAGCTCTTCCCCAATGGATTACAAGTGCAAGCAGACATGTTCCATGTGGGCAGCAAGGGGGGGGGCGAGGCCATGGCAGCAGCCATGGGGGTGCCCTTCCTGGGCCGAGTGCCCTTCGACCCCTCACTGGGCCGCGCTGCTGAGGAGGGCCGCTCCGCTGCTCCTCACCATGGCGACGACGCCACTGCAGCTGATGGTGGTATCGGTGTTGCTGCTGCTGGTGGTGTTGGCGGGGATGGTGGAGCAGCGAATGGGGGTGTGCGGAAGGTGGAGGAGCTGTCACCGGGTGCGGCTGCGCTGGAGCGGATATTCAGCAAGATTGTTGCCACCGTTGAGAGCAGCGCTTGCAGATGATACTTGACGAGACTTATCTGACAAGCCCAAGTCCATGCGATCAGAGCAGCAACAAGGCTGACATGACATGAACCTGCTGAGAGAGGATGAGGCGCAAAACCAAGACTTGTACTGAGGTAGTGGTAGAGTAGGTGGCTGCGCATTTCCTGCGGGAATTTGATGCATGGTGTAGCCACCTAAAAGCCTGTCAATGGCAGGGTTCTTGTGTAGGGGTGTACTAATTTTGTCATGGTATATTGCTTTGTCAAAGAGTGCTACAACTTCTTACATTACTATAGCTTTTGGCATCGTTGTTCTTCCTACCTACCTACTAACTATTGCTGGACTGGTAGTGCTATATTTTGGGCATTCCTGTTCCCTGCTATAAATTGTTTGGTTACAAACTGTACGAACTTGTAAGGAAAACCCTTTTTTCCTTACTGGGGTTTACTCAACCGCGTACAACCCCAACTTTCGGAAGTGCACGTTCGGCCGCTTTGCTTGCTGCCGAAGCAACCTCGCGTCGCCTTCGGTTTTCCTTTGCCCAACCTGCACTCAACCTCGTGTTCCCGAGGTTCCCGCCTAGCTAGGTTGCCTCGCTATATAATCGCATGCCTTTCATTGTATCGTCAGTTCATTGAGTCACAGCCTCGTTATTCGTTATTCCGCGCAACTCTGTTTGACAACTCATAACACCTGGTATCAGAGCTACTTTCCTAGTTCACCCCGCTTTTCCAGGGTAGTTTAGAGGCACGGGTGTGACTGGTACGGTGGGCTGCAAAGCGGTTGGTTGCAAAGTTTATTAAATTAAACTTGCCCGACTCCGATAGCTTTTGCGCTTGCACTGTTGCCGGATAGTCACGGAGACCCACTTGCCTGTTAGACGTAGCTTGCGACTCATGGACCAGGAGGCGTTCAACAAACTTATGCAGCAAGTGGCAGAAATGTCGGCAGGCATGAAGGCATTAACGACAGAAATGGAGAGACTACGTGAAGAAAACAACGAGCTACGCCAGGCGCGAGGTGAAGCGCGCCAGGAGTCGCCCGCTGAAGAAGGCGAGAGCACTGGTCAAGCGGTGAGCGGCAATCCGTTGGAGGAGCTCACACGCGGCTTCGAAGAAGAAGATAGGCAGCGAGCGGCGGCAGCGACAACAGTTGCAGTGACAACAATCAAGATAAAGCCTACGAGCCCGCCCCCGTTCAACCCTACAGACAAGAATACTACAGTTAAGGGGTGGTTGTTCGGCGTGGAGGTGTTCTTCACTGCAGCGAATGTCAACGACGACGCCACGCGTATTAATTACGCGGTATCGCTTCTGCGAGGCCCGGCGCTTGAGTGGTGGCGACGAACCTTGGACACGGGGACCCCGACAGGTGTGACACATGCGGCAGACGGGACTTCGGACTCTGCTATTGGGAGGGCATCATCAATATTCGGTGTGGCCACAATTCGCACGTGGAAACAGTGGGGCGCAGCCTTACGAGAGCGTTTCGAGCATGTATCCGCCTCGGAACACGCTCGCATGAAGCTGCGTACCTGGTCGCAGTTGGCTTCTGTTCAAGACTACACGGCGTCGTTTATGGCGCTCGCGGACCAAGTGGACGACATGGCGGAGGCGGAGCGGTTGGATAAATACATCAGCGGCCTCAAGTACGAGATACAGTTCGAGGTGCGCCGAAACCGCCCGACAACATTCAACGAAGCCGTCCGATTGGCCGAGAGCACAGACGCGCTGATGCAGTGGGCGAGATCGAGTTCTCCGGAGGGAAACCGATTTCGTGGACAGACCCAGCGGGCCACGATTAACGGAGTCCATGCGCCAGATCACCCTTTTACAGGGTTGTGTTTTAAGTGCGGGAAGCCGGGCCACATGTATAAAGACTGCCCCGACAGGACGCAGGGAAAGAGGAACGACGGGAAGGAGCCGGGAAATGGGAAGAGTCAGTAACAGACAAGCCCCTTACTGACTGTGCTCTGTCGCCCGAACCCCACCATCCCCACCGAGTCGTGGTTCCGATTCATGCAATCGATCGCACTCGGACGAATAACGGGGGTGAACATGTGGATCACCCTGTGCTGGTTGTTGGCACGGTTGTTAAGAAAAAAATAAAAATGTTCGTCGATGGCGGGGCTAGCCATAGCCTCTTCAATCTGGCGACAGCAAAAAAATGCAAGTTGCAGCTGGACAGGTGTCTGCCCGAAATTGACGCCCGCCTCGTGGATGGGACGCCTCTGGCGATTTTGGAAGAAACACGGACGGTGCGGATTGAGTGCGGCGACGATTTCGGCTTCAGCATGAAGTTTCTCGCGACGACGTTGGACGAATGCGATGTGCTCCTGGGACGCGATTGGATGCGACGGCACAACCTGATAATCGACTGGACGACGAGATCGTGCAGCATCAGCAAGAACGGGGGGCTGATTACTCTGCCCGCGTGGACTCCGGACTGCATCGAGTCTACATGCGTCAAAGCCATCACTATTAAATGCCACGTCAACAGGGGTGCGCAACTGTTCGCCGTATGCTTGCGCGAGTTGGCAGCCGACACCGACGGAAACGACATCGAGAAGCTGTGCGCAGCTGTACCACCTGATTTAGCGGAGCTGATTCGACAATACCCCGACATCTTCCCCGACGACCTGCCACCTGGACTACCACCCGAACGCCCCGAGGACCACAAAATCCAGCTGGAACCTGGCGCGCAGCAGACTGTTCGTACACAGTGGCAGTTGAGTCAGCCCGAACTCGCGGAGCTTCGAAGTCAACTTGAGTCACTGTTGGAGAAGGGCTCCACCCAACCCAATACTTCGCCCTTCGCCGCACCGATCCTGTTCACACCGAAGAAGGACGGCGGCATTCGCATGTGCATCGACTATCGCGCGCTCAACCGGGTTACCATCAAGTCTCGCTATCCCATCCCACGCACCGACGACCTCCTCGACCAACTTCGCGGCGCTCGCTACTTCTCGAAGATTGACTTACGCTGCGGTTACCACGAGATCAGATTCTTCGCTGATGATTGTCACAAGACCGCCTTCCGAACCCGCTACGGCAGTTACGAGTTCACAGTGATGCCTTTCGGCCTCACGAACGCGCCATCAACATTTCAACGCACCATGAACAGGGTATTTCGCGACCTGCTGGACAAGTGTGTTATCGTCTACTTGGACGATATTCTGATTTTTAGCAGGTTATGCGAGCAGCACCTCCGCGACCTCGACACAGTGTTTAAGCGGCTACAGGAGAACCGGCTCATCACCAAAGGCTCTAAGTGCGAGTTCTTTAAGCAAGAGTTGGAGTTTTTGGGGCACGTCATCTCACGCGACGGCATCAAAATCGACCCGAAGAAAATCAAGACCATCCAGGAGTGGAAGGCCCCGACTAATGTCACGGAACTTCAGAGTTTTCTGGGGTTTGTGAATTATGTCCGGCGGTTTATCCCGAATATGGCGGGGATAACCGGCCCGCTGACCGACTTGCTGCACAAGGACAGGAACTTCGTGTGGGGGGAGGAAGCTGAGGCGGCTTTTCAGGAGTTGAAGCAGTTACTGGTGTCCCCTCCGGTTCTTCGCATCGCCGACCCATCCAAGCCGTTCGAAGTTGTCACCGACGCCTCAGATTTCACCATCGGTGCAGTGCTGCTCCAGGATTTTGGCAACGGCTTACAACCGATCGCCTACGAGTCACGCAAGTTGCAGGCAGCCGAGCGCAACTACCCGATTCACGACAAGGAGATGCTCGCCATCATTCACGCGTTTAAACTGTGGCGATGCTACCTGACTGGCGCCGACGTCACTGTTCGCACCGATCATAAATCCCTACAGTACCTTCGAGCGCAACCCAACCTCAACCCGCGACAAATCCGGTGGCTCGATTACATGGAGTCACACTTCCACTACAGGATCACCTACAAGAAGGGCGCGAACAACATTGCCGACGCCCTGACCCGACCGACAGTCCAATCCGCTGCTGTGCTGATCACCCATTCGAACCCGCTCCTTTCGGGACTATTCACCCATGGCTATACTACGGACCCGTTCTTCACGACTGGAAATCACCAGCAGGCGACGACGCAGAAGGGGAATTATTACCTAAAGGCCGGAACTGACCGGATTTGGGTTCCCGCTTACCGGCTGCTGCGTGAACTCCTTATTCAGGAGGTCCATGATTCCAACCTCTCCGGACATTTCGGGGTTGATAAAACCCAGAAGCTGTTGCACCGTCAGTATTATTGGCCTGATTGCGCTAACGACGTGCAGCGATATGTGTCCTCATGCAGGGTGTGCCAAGCCATGAAATCGACACGTCAGCGGCCAGCTGGGTTGCTGCAACCTCTCGAGCCACCCGAACGACCATGGCAACAGGTGACGATGGACTTCGTCACGGGGCTGCCAGCTGGGCCGTCCGGCAACGACGCTGTACTCGTCGTCGTCGATCGCCTCACAAAAATGGCGCATTTCGCACCTTGTCGCACGACAATCACCGCCGAAGAAACTGCACGCCTCTTCATCTCCACCGTTGTGCGACTACACGGCATCCCATCGGCGATCATCAGCGACCGGGACCCAAAGTTCACATCGAAATTTTGGAAGGAGACGTGGGCGCAGTACGGCACGAAGCTACAGTTCTCGTCGGCATACCACCCGCAAACCGACGGCCAGACCGAGCGGACCAATCAGACGATGGAGCAGCTGATCAGGACAAACTGCCCCGACCCCGCTCGCTGGGAAAATTCGCTCGCCATGCTGGAATTCGCGTTCAACAACGCTCCGTCCAGCACGACTAATCACTCCCCGTTCTTCTTGAATTACGGGATGGACCCGGTGGTACCTACAACGACTACACTTGACAACCCGGTCCCGAGGTCACAAACATTTGTGACAGAACTCCAGGAAATTTGCGAGAAGGCTGCAGACGCAATTCGCAAGGCGAATATCACTTCCGGCAAATACTCGGATCTTCTACGACGGGAAATCGTCATGACAGCTGGGCAACTAGTGCTACTCGACACGAAGAACC